GTTTTATTCATCTTTTTTATCGTTATGCATCTCATAAGCATCTTGCGAGTTGATGAATTTATTTTATAATTATCTCAACTAAGTTGTCTATTCATACTATAGGATCGAGTCCAATTTGTAAATCAATCTTCCTTGTATAAGAGTGTTAATTTTTTTTACTCTTATACTTGGAAGATGATTTTTACAACTGAAATAATAATTACAAGATTTAAGTAAAGGAAGCCTCTTTAAAAAAAAAAAAAAGTGAAGACTCATCTATAATGATAAGCATAAGCAAGCATTAAGGGGAGGTGATTAAGAGTTAGAAGAAGAAAACAAGCTCAACCCCTTATCTCACACCTTAATATCTGCATGACGAGTGGATTGATCGCTTTGCTTGACCAGTGCTTAAACTAAATGAGTACATTTGAAAAGAAAATTACTACTAGGAATTCTTTTAGTAAAAACAAGAGGAGGATCATATACCAGGAGAAATTCTCTCCTCCATAGCTGTTTGTTTTGTGATAGCCACATAACTTGCTCACGAATCATATGATTTTGAGGTGTTTAGTGTTGCTTTTCTTTCTTTTATTTTTTTAGTGTTTTTGCCTTGTGTTTATTTTTACTTTATATTTTGAGACATCAAAATGCTGAGAAGTGTATTTTGGTTATAAAATATATTCATGTTATTGTATTTATTTTTATTGTACTTGTCTTGTGCACTTGTGTTTTCTCTTTTTTAGTTCTTTTAAATTAAAACTTTAAAATTTTAATATATTCATGTTGTTGCATTTTATGTCATTTCACTTTTTTGCCGTATTTTTTTATAGAAGGCATAAAGTGAGGGTGAGAAAATGTAATTCAAAAAATTTAAATATTTTACTTAAGATCTTTTTGAGAAATAATTTCAACAAAAAACGTTCTTTGTCATAAAATTGTGAGAGATTGTTGGGCCCTATTAGCCTTGTGTACACACTAGGGTTTTTATAATAATAAATGTTAATAGTTATACTAATTTAAATTATAATTATATGTGCAGGTCTTTGCTTTTAAACAAACATTTCAAATAAAAAAAGAAACCACAAGATTAATATCAGGCTTGACAACAACAACAATAACATCGAGTCTCTGTCCCACGATATTAGCTTAGCTATATGATTTCTTTATCTCCATTTTGATATCTTACTCACAAGAGACAAAATCAAGAAGAGGAGCTGATTGAGCCAAAAAATTAATAATATTATGTCGCCAAAGAAAAAAAATGCCTCAATGAATGTAAAGTGGGTGAATATGTAGTTTTCTATTTTTTAGGCTTTTACAACTTGTATGAATATAGTTGACTAAACAATCATGCACACACATAAAATAGTAAATTTTTTATTAAAAATAGAAAATTTGACATTTATTAAAATACTTGATCCTCTGATTAATTGTACTAGATGATTTAAGTAGTGTAATATTAGCACTATGTATTTTTTAAAAATTAGATAATCAAGTGATATTAACTAATAAAATTTATAATTAAATTTTAAAATGACAAATTATAATGTATGATGAAAATTATCCTATATGATATCCTATTTTAAGTTAAATCCACTATCATCTATTTTTCCAAAATAAGGAAAATTCAAATTTTAAAATTTTGTCATGTATAAAGTATTTTATACTATAAAACTATTTATGATTTTTACCTATTATGGCACTAGAAATCAAGATTTTATGAGTTTGTTCTAGAGAGCTGAGATTGATTTGTAAGGGGTTTGAGAGAGAGAGAGAGGCAATTAGAGAGATCTTTGGGAGAGTCCAAAAGATTTCTCATGGGATTCATAAAGGTTGTCTAGTCAGATCTATGCCCTTGATACTTCGGTTATTGCAAAGTCTCTTAGAAAGGGGCTTTGGAGAGTCTTGGTGTAGAGACTCAAGATTTAACCTTGGAGGTTTGGTTTGAAAGCTTTTTGAGAAGAGAAGAGGTTTAACAGTTTCTCTATTATCCTATAAAGGATAGAGGCTTCTCTATCTTGTTAGGAGCAGAAGGAAATAGTTAGTTGAATTCACTATTAGAAGACTTGGAGAGTGGATGTAGATCAAGTTGACTAAACAACTATAAATATAATTTTCCTATTATAACTTTAGTTTTTTCTTTTAATTTTCTATTCAGATACTCATTTGAAATGAATTTTGCTTTATGTTTTTCTCATTAAACCTGCTTAAGGAATCTAATATTCATCTTGACAGATAAGCATGCCATTCACTTGTCATTTTGAAAAAGAATCTAACCAAGAAATATACTTCATATGCATCTGTAGATTCTTCCCCTACTCTAGTGAACTAAAGTAGGGTTTATTTTTTTACTAGGTTCTAGGTCACCTGTAGAGGTAAGCCTCTATAGTTAAGTATATCCCAAGATGAATCTTGAGAAAAATCTTAATTAAAGTAGTGTCTAAACTTCTTTGGTCTTATATAAGGTTTTAATACAGGATTTTAAAATAGAACTACCTATTGGAAAAGTCCAAAGCCTGAACACTTCCTTACTAGTAAGAGGAAGAAAGGTAGAAAGCGCTTGATATCCAGCCCAGAAATAACTTATACTAATGTTTAGCAGTAACAATTTAGAACGAGTTCAAATTTATGTTTGAGTTTACAATTTATTAGAAGATCGAGATAATTCTCCTAGAAGGAAGTATGAGAGGTGTAGGCAAATTTGGACTTATGTCGATTTTTTGTGGACAACCAGCTAACTACTTAAGAATATTTTTTTAGGGGAAACCCTCAGAGGGGCATACGTATTAATTAAGAAAGATGTTAAATAGTCCTTAAAGGGACCACAAGCTTAGTACTCCTAAGAGCTACAAAAAGAAAGCAAAAAAAATCCTAAGAGCTAAAGTTCCTAACTACGTAAAAATATAATATAACCTAGATACAATCTATGATGAATAAAAAAGAGCGCCCAAAAAAAAGGGAACAAAAAAAAAATCAACCAGCTCCACAATCCCTTCCAAAATGCCACCACTACGAACACCTGCACTAAAGAGATGCTGCAAAAAAAAGTGATAACCAAGATAGAAATTGCAAAAATAAAATCATAAAATGGCATGGTGATAGTCCAAGCAATTGTCCATAAAACAAGTAGTATAAATAAAAAACAAAACATTCAGCCTCCAACAAACAACTTTATAACACTTAGCAGCATCATTCACAAGGAAATGAACAAGCACCCCCTAACTATCAGGTAAGCAGCCATGGAACCTAATGGCAAACCCAGCAGAAGTAGACCATTGGCCATAATCCACAATGGCATAGATAAAGGAAACCAAGATAATCCAGATATATAACCATTTCACATCCAACTTAATATGGATAGCCACAGCTTTAAAAGAAAAACTGCAAAATAAAACCCCATACTAATTCATAAAACCAGTTCCAAACAAACCAACAGTGAGTCCTTAGCCAAACAAGGTAACATGAAAATTGGCCAACCCAATAAAATAGATTAGAGACATAAATGCCAGCAAAATCACAATCGAAATGCCACTCCAGTCTAATCCCAATCCCAACTAAGCACAAAGGAACCATGCCCAGGGAAAAGCAATAGACCAGATGAGCCAAAACCCACAGGAAATGAAGAGCACAACCACAAAAACCAAACCAACTGAAACTAGAAAAAACTATACCAGAATGGATCCAAGGAACAACCTCCAACAAAATCCCAAAAAAACCCATTGACAGCTTACAGGAAACCAGCCCACATAAAATAATATTAAAACCAAACATCGTGGGATTAGACGAGCAGCACAGGGAAGAAATGCTGACATCAAAACTGAACCAGAAAAACCAAGAGATGCAGTTAACAGGGGAGACCCTCCAGCACGAGAAGGCAACCCCCAAACAAAAATAAAAAGGAGTCTCAAGCTCCATCCAAAAATAACTAAAAAAAATCTAACATAGGGAAGACCAATTTTATCTAATCTTAAAAGCCCTTTTAAGGGGACTGGTATGTTAGAGGCAGAGAAGTCAATAAAATAATCCAAATTACACCCCAAATTGGCAAGCCAATCAGCACAAGCATTCCCCTCCCTATACACATGAGAGAGGGATTAATTAACAAAAATTAGCATATGATTAATGTCCCTAGCAAGATAAAAAAGATCTGGGTTGCACACAGGATCATCAACATTATTTAAACAATGAATATTGTAAGTAGCATCAACTTCAATCCAAATGTTAGAAATGTCGAGATATATGCATAATATAATCCCATGAAGAATAGCTGAAAGCTCAGCAAAATTCACTGAACAATTAAGTCAGAGGCCCGCAAAAGCCATAATGATATTCCCAAAACCATCCCTAATAATCCCACCACATCCCAAAATGGAACCTTTGATAGTACCATCCACATTTAGCTTATAGGAATTATTAGGAGGTTTGATCCAGTAAATAATCCTAGGTTTAGTAGAAGGATGATCACCCTCCAACATGATACCCAATTCAAATGCCACAAAGAAATAATTCTTAAAATTCTTGACAGAGAGCAGATTGATTTAAAAAAGCCGCAAAACCTTGTCTTTCATATTCTTAATAATCCTATGATGGTTCATACCAATACCATTAAAAGGGAATTATTTCTATTCAGCCATAATTCAACAAAATGAGAAAGGGAACAACATTTCTAATATGACTTTTAGACTTAATAAACTAAGAGTTAAGTAAAGCATTAATAGACAACTTAATATTAAAGCAATTTATTTTAAAAATATCATCAAAATATGTTCAAGTTTTAGCAGCTGAAGGGCCTGAAAGAAAGACATGATGCATGTTCTCCACATGAAAGCATCATTGGCACTTGGACGGTAAGATAAAGCCTCTTTTAATTAAGTTATCATTACTAGGGATGAACTTATGTAAAATTCTCCAAATGAAAATAGCAAAAGCAAAAAGAATTTTTTATGCCAAATCATAGAAAAAATATTAGTTACATCATTCTTAGCTCTGAAGGCATGCCAAGCTTCCTTTAATCTGAAATTCCCATCTTTAGACAAATTGCATAATAATAAATAAGTAGAATTAGTGTTAAGGGGAAGGTTCATAATTTGTTGAATAATAGAATTAAGAATGGCATTAGCTAGTTTATCATAATCGGGGAAGGTTCATAATTTGTTGAAAATATTTGTTGTTATTGTCACCTTCAGCAAGGTGCTTCGTAGTCACTTTTTATTTCCAAAAGGCTTTCTCCTGAGCTTGTAATTTAAAAAGGCAATCTTTAGCATCCCTAAGCAAAGTAAAATTATCATCAGAATGAAATAATTGACAATTAAGCTTAATAGTGTTCACTTTATCTTCAGCATTCAAGATATTAGCGAAAATATTTTTAAAAATATTTCTATTGCACCAATTGATTTTTTACTTAAGTCTTTTCAATTTAAACCATAATATATTCATGCCAAATATAGAATCATTAAGATGTAAAAGGGCATGTCAACTTTCCTGAAATAAGTCCAGAAAAGAATCACGAAGTAACCACTTATTTTGAAATCTAAAGTGAGGTGAAGGACCCATATGCCTCGTCTTAAGGCTAATTAAAATATGCGAGTTATTAGAAAGAGTTCTATTAAGGTGTTCACCATAAATAGAATTAAATGAGCTAATCCAACTATCGTTAAACAACACACGATCCAACCGTTGTCATAAACGACCACTGTTTCAAGTAACTTTATTACCAAAGAAACCAATCTCCACTAAGTTACAATCTAGAATCATACTATTAAAGTCCTCCATAGAATGATAAATAGGAGCAGATCCCCAATACACTCAGAGAGGTTAGAAATAGTGTTAAAATCACCACCAACAAGCTAGGGCAAGTTAGAAATACTATGGAAGTTAGTGAGTTGCTCCCATAAAACTTTTCTAGTATTACAAGAAGAAGCAGAATACACAAAGGAATGACAACAATTCAAATTTTAAAATTTAAAATTACAGTGCAAGACTTGCATAAAATTTCCAATAATATCTATCCAAATAGGATCCTTCCAAAACACCCATATTTTATAGGAAGAATTCACAACAGAATGCTTAAAACCCAACAATATAGCAGTACTGAATAATTAAGCAGAAGTAATGAGAGGTTGAAGTAAAACAAGAATAGAAACATTATGAATATGGCGTAAATTATTAACCCTCAACCTAAAGGAGGGGAATCCAATGCTCCTATCATTCCAAATAATAAATTTAAATATAAGAAAGTGGCTAGTGTCTAGTTTGCAAATGGGTGGTCCGTGGTTATTGTAAAATGATGTTCTTGTTTTTCCTACTCTTCCTATTTTGAAACTTAGTAGAACTAGTGTCATGATCATCTTTGATAAAACATTTAGCCATAATATCCATATCCTTTGTATCAGTAAAGACATTACTATGATGGTGAGAGTTTGTAGAATGCTTATTATCATTATGTAGACCCGCTTGCCTTACCTCCTGAGGCAAATCTCCATCCTTGAAGATATGACCTTCTTCCACAATTTCCTTACTACCCAAGTCTATAGCAGTATTATCTAATACTCCTTCCTCCAAAATGAGATGCATGTCATCCTGATCATTCACAATAGGGTTAGAGGACAAAGTATTAGCACAAATATTAGTGATCATCAAAATTTCCATATCAAGCAACTATTTATTAATAATACAGGGACTGAGAGGAGATGATGAAACAAAATTATGATTAGTAGTAATAGCCAACATTTGCTCATCCATATTTCCAAAAACAATAGCTAAAGAAGAACTAGAGTTATTAAGGACTCCCTAAAAAATAAAAGGATCCTTGACAATGGTAGAAGGCGGGTCATTGTTAACGATTGAATTATGTATTGTGTCCTCGATATTGTCATGCTATTTTGCCAAAGTTTCATCAACCAATCCTTAAGAAAGAATCTCATTATCATGAGAAACCAAGGGAACTAAAATAGTATTTCCCTATGATTGTTTGGAAAACTCCTCCTTACCAAGATGAGGGTGTGTTGACCCATAAGCTACTGCCAAAAGGGAATGAAACAAAGAATATAATAAAAAAAGGGGTTTTGATCATTACCTATGCTGAGATCTCACCCAAATCCTGCTCAAAATCTCTTCTCAGCTGCCAAATTCACATCACAAATCCCCTCCTAGATGCTCCCTATCCCATATGCAGGGAAAATAATATAAAAAATGGGAATTTAAAACCATATAATAAAACTCCTCCCAGGCCAAACGGTGGTGGCTACCTCTCCTTTCTCATTTGCAAACTCTACACACATCTCCGGTCATCCCAAGCCGAAAGCCACAATCCTATTGTGTGATAAACTCCGGCTTCCCCATTCCTCTCCAACCAATCTCTACCCTCAGCCTTCACCCGATGATTTTGCCCTTACCCTATTTGCAAACTGTCCGTTCAGAGAGAGAGAGAGATTCGGACCCACCGAAGCCTCTCAAGCTAAGGCTGACGCTTCCCGCCGCCTCTTCATCCCTCTGTCCGACCTGATTCACTCGTCTCTTCTAAGTCCAAGCAGCTGCAGTCCTGCGCTTCAACCTAAGCAATTGACTGCCCTATACCTGTCTGAACTAGCTCCCATCTCTGTCTTCCAATTTCCCTTCAGTACCGAGCTCGCTCTTCTCTTCAAGCTGACCTCCATGCCTCAGCCGACCTGATCTTGTCCCGACCTAAGCCACCCATTACCTCTTCCTCTTTGCTCGAGTAAGGTAGTATGTATTAAGATGGTTTTAATGTTAATACTATTCATTAGTATTAACATTAATATTGTTATTATGATTAGTTATTACTATTATTTTAATAATAATAATAATAATAATAATAATAATAATAATATTATTATTATTATTATTTTTATATATTTGTGTCTATGTGTTTGTGAGAAAGAAAAAAATGCAAAACAAAAAGGGAAGTTGCAAAAAAAAAGGGGAGTTAAAAAAAAAAGAAGAGAAAAAATAGTAGGGAAAAAGTTTCAAAAATCCCATTTTTGTCATTTGCGGCGGACTGAAGAACCACATATATACGCTCTCGTAGCACGGTAAGAGGGAGCCTAATGTGAAGCCTACAAAGAGATAGGTAATCACTTTAAGTCCCATCGTCGACGTTTGTGATGGACAGGAGAACCACCTATTTGCACTCTCATAGCACGATGGGAGGGAGCTTAGTGCGATGCATACGAAGAGGTGGGTAAGCCTTATACATGCTCTTGTAGTACGGTGGATAAAGCCACTTTATTCTTCATATTGATACTTTTGAAGACATCATACATGCTTATGTAGTATGGTGGGATGAAAGATGTACGGCCCGGTGTCCCCCGACACTTACCATACACGCTCAAGTAACGTGGTGGGATGGCCCAATTTTTTTTGGTTTCCCCTAAATAGGGGAGACAGGAAGCTATCAAATTTTCTAGTGGACAAGGGACCTGAATTGGTCAATTTTTGGACATGAACTTGAACTCGTCTTGGACATGACTTGAACATTTGAACTCAAGCAAAGACTTGAGTTGGACAATAGGGAACTTGATTTGGACAATGAACTGAACATAAAATTGAGCTTAAATCAAACTTGAATTAATTCAAATCAAAATGACAATAAATAAAAATTACAAATTAAATAATAAGAAAGGTAAATAAAATTTTTAAAATGCTCCTTGTTGGGGTCGGATCTCCAGGAAGAGTGACGCTTCCTGGAGATCCGCCCCCAACAATAAATAACATCAGAAATGGGTCCCAAGTGTTGAGATAGTTGCTACTTAGCTTTACATGTTTGACATTCTTGCAACTTGTATGCTTTTTATGGTTCCAAATATTATTATTTTGATTATTATTTCTCCTAATATATTTTGAAAGTATTATTTTTGCTCTTGTGTGTACTAATATTTTAGGGAAATCATACTCCAGATTGTTGAAGACTTCAAATCAAGATCAGCTTAGAATGTATTGTAAATTGAAGTCTGTATTTTTCATTTTATTGAGTCTGAGAGAATGAGATTGTAATTGAGTAACTAAGCACACACACACTGGGGAGAGTTTTTAAAATTTGCTATTTTTAAAATGATCGTACGGTATGATACCATTTTATAAAGGACGAGCTGGTCAGTTATTTTCCCCGATGAGCAATGGAATGAATAGAAAATGGTAAAAAAAAAAGATTTTCTAAGTATAAATCATACAGACGATATTTTACTTTCATAGCAGGACGATCTTCTCTATTTTTGACAAATGTGAAGTTCATACAGACGATATTTTACGTTCATTCCGGGATGATCTTCTCTGTTTTTGCCAAATGTGAAGTTCGTATGGATGATATTTTACGTTCGTATCGGGACAATCTTCTCTATTTTTAACAAAAGTGAAGATCATACGGATGATATTTTTCGTTCGTACCAAGACGATCTTCTCTATGTTTGATGAATGTGAAGATCATTATTCATCCGTACCAGGACGAGCTTCTCTATTTTTGATGAATGTGAAGATCATACGGACGATATTTTTAGTTCATACTAGGACAATCTTCTCTGTTTTGTCCTTTAAAGCTATTCGTATGGACAACATTTTTCGATCGTACCGGGACGATGGGCTCTGTTGAGTTTTCGTCCAGATGTTTGTACATATGTGCTTTAAAATTTCTATTCATATCGGACGAACATAGTTCGTACAGACGATGATCGGGTATGAATATAGTTCCTACCTATTCACAATAAGTTCGTACGTAATAGTTTTTGAAATATTCATATGCATGAAATTTGATCGTATGGGATGATCGTGGATGGTCAAATTTAAAAAATACTATTTTCTGGACAGTTTTTCATGTCTTTTCTATATAAGGTACACTTAAGACTGTCATTTAATCTTTTTGTCACTTGGTCTTTGTGAATGGTAAAGGAAAATTAAAGGAGAGAGTGAGAGATAGTGTTTGAAGGAGATTTCTTCCTATTAGAGTCTGAAGGGTTCACTTGGTTACTTAAGGGTAAAGATCTTTTTGTGTAATATATGTTTACTTTACTCTTTTCTCTTGTCATTCTAGATTTCTAGTGTGAAGATCTTTCAAGAAGATCCGGTTCTCTGCCAATAGTCGAGGAGTGTGAATAGCCGAGGGTTCTCTTCCTACACTTAGAGAGTGTGAACAACCGAAGGTTATCTACCTACATTTGGAGGGTGTGGAAGGGTGAGGGTTCTTTGCCTACATTTGGAGAGTGTGAACAACTTAAGATTCTCTTTCTACACTTGGAGGGTGTGAAAGGATGAATGTTCTCTGCCTACACTTAGAGAGTGTGAACAATCGGCGGTTCTCTGTCGACACTTGGAGGGTGTAAAAGGATGACGGTTCTCTGCCGCATCGAGTAGTGGTGGAAGAGAGTTTTTTGAAGGCTTCTCCGTCTTGCTGTGGAAGCAAAAGGAGAGACACTTGTGGTAATAGTGTAATACCTGCAGTGGAAGACTTTAAGAAGTGGATGTAGGTCATGTTTGACCGAACCACTAAAAATCTTTATATTTATTTGCGCTGCTTTAATTTCTGCATTTTATTTTTCTGTGGATAAAAAATTATTTTAAAAAAAAAATTCTAAAATCAACCTATTCAATTTATTAAAACGGTTCCAAATTTTTAAAATCTAATAAAGGGTCAAGTTTTTAAATTAGCAATTCACCCCTCTCTTGGTGAGCTTTTGGGACATAAGCTTAGATCTAACAACCTATTTCATATTCAATAAGTTTCAACAAGCGATATCAGAGCTTTATTTCAAAATCATAAGTGTAGACTACTTTTTGATTAACGACTATGGCTACATTTTAAAACCAAAACACACTAGAATGTTACTCTATAACTAAACCTCCCTTGTTTGATAATATTCCTTTTAATTTTTGGAAAACAAGGATGTCAACATTTTTACAGTCATTAGACTATCGTATGTGGATCATAGTTCAAGAAGAGTATACTAAACCAACTAAATTAGTTGACGGAGTTAGAGCTGAAATTCCCTTTGCAGACTGGACTGTAGAACAATATGAATTAGCACAACTTAATGCAAAATGTTTGAATAGTTTCTTTTGTGCACTTAAATCTGAAGATTACATGCGGGTTTCCCTTGCAAAAGTGGAAAAGACATATGTGATATACTTTTTATAACCTATGAAGGGACTAATAAAATTAAGCAATCTAGACTTAATATCTTATTGCATAACTATGAACTATTTCACATGAAATCCAATTAATCTATTTCTGACATGTACCAAGATTCACATAAATAGTCACTTTTTTACATGCATTAGGTAGGGAACTAACGAATGCTAAAATGGTTAATAAGATATTTTATTGTTTTCCTATTACATATGATGCTAAAATAACTACAATTATAGAGTCAAAAGACTTAAATATTTACTTTATTAACAATCTTCTTGGATCACTAATTGCTTACGAACATGAAGTGAGTCAATGAAAGATTGATGTAGGAGAGCCACAAAAGGAGAAGAGCATATCACTAAAAGTGGAGGAGTCGGAGAGTGATCTATCACAATCTGAGGATGAGGATGACATCGCTTTGATGACTAGACAGTTTAGAAGTTTTCTGAAGAGGAAGCAAAAGAGATGCCAACAATGGAATCGAGGTATATTCAATAGGAATGTTAAGGTTTCTAATTATTTGATTTGCTATGAGTGTAGGAAACTTGGACACATTAAGTTAGAATGCCCAAAGCTTAAATCCACTCCTAGACGGAAAAGGTAGAGGAGAAACCAAATGTGAAGAAGGGGAATAAGAAATTCCAAACAGTTTTCTGGGCGGACTAAGCTTCAGACTCATCATAAACTGAAAAGGAGGAAGAAGTCATCAACTTGTGTTTGATGGCTGATAATCTTGATCAGTCAAATCAAGAAGAGGTATGTGACTTAACCTATGCTGAGGTTTTTAAAGATTTTGAAAGAATACATGATGTATATAGGAAGTTAAAAAAACTGCATGCTAGTCTGGACGTAGAATTATAAGAACTGCAGAGAGAACATGAAATTCTTAGGAAAGATCATGCATTAGTTGATAAAAACCATATGAGTTTACTTGAAGCGTTCGATGATTTGAATAAGAATAATGATAATTTAAAATCATCCTATACGTATTTGGAAAAAAAATTAAAGATTAAAAGGATGAATCAGAGAGTGAAAAATATCAGTTGAAATTTAATAATAATGTGTTGGAAGATATGAGCATATTTTTGAAATTGAAAATAAAATCTCTCGAGAAAAATAAGAAACCCCCAAGACTTAAAATTTTACTAATCCTATTTTATATCCAAAATTCTTACAACTCAGGAAGAATAAGAATAGTTATAGAAAATTAAGAAATTCATTTCCTGGAGTTAAATGCTATATATATGGGATAATTGGTCATATTACACACACTTGTACTATAGATATAAAAACTCATTTAGTGTGGAGACAAAAGATGCATAAACCTAGACATATTATACATGCATTTGTTTTAAAGTTGCCAAAAGGTGAACCCAAACTTATTTGGGTTCCCAGGTCTAACTTTTGATGATTTTGCAGGTACGCTCTCATACAAGGCCTCGTGAGAGCATATGGTATTTAGAAAACGGTTGCTCAAATCATATGACTGGAGATACTGCAGAAGTCATATCACTGGAATGGAAATAAGATTATATTTGGAGATAACACCACAAGGAAGGTGGTTGGATCATGTATGATAG